GGGTTTAGGGACAGGTACGCGAGTTTGGGTTTAGGGACAGGTACGCGGGTTTGGGTTTAGGGACAGGTACGCGAGTTTGGGTTTAGGGACAGGTACGCGGGTTTGGGTTTAGGGACAGGTACGCGGGTTTGGGTTTAGGGACAGGTACGCGGGTTTGGGTTTAGGGACAGGTACGCGGGATTGGGTTTAGGGACAGGTATGCAGGTTTGGGTTTAGGGACAGGAATGCGAGTTTATGTTTAGGGACAGGTACGTGAGTTTGGGTTTAGGGACAGGTACGTGAGTTTGGGTTTAGGGACAGGTACGTGAGTTTGGGTTTAGGGACAGGTACGTGAGGTTAGGTTTAGGGACAGGTATGTGATGTTAGGTTTAGGGTAAGGGGTCAGGGTTAGGCCATTGAAATGACCTGTAAATGAATKGAAGTCAATGCAAAGTCCCCATGAGGATAGAAGAACAAATGTGTGTGTAAGCATGAGCGAGAGAGACAGAAGAGGCGGCGAGTTGTGTAAAATAATGAGAAACTAAAACAATCATAAGGAATCACTGAGAGATTCAATAAGAAAATGTGAAGTTAATTTATAGCAGCAAAGAGACTAATTAATGACAAGACGGGGTGGGGGGGACCCTAGGATTTACAAACGCATGTCAGGGTGGCTGCTGTTACTATTTTTAAAATAAAGATATGAGATTCCTCCTTCCTCCTCCCTCTCTGTTGTGCTGTAGCTCCACTTTAAAGCTCCTGCCTAGATTTCATGCACATGCAGGCTAATAACAACTTCCACTTTATGAGAGMCAGTAAACAGCGTTAGCTTTAACTTTTATTGGGATGTTGTGGGAGCTCTCGACATCGTTGCTCTTTTGAGGCAGCTTTGGAGTTTCTGATTGTCCCTTTAAATGTAGTATTTTCCTTTTACCATTTTGAGAATAAGGTTAGTGCTGAAATAAAAGATCGATGAACTACAGGTGGTCAGCTCTGATTGGGAGCGTTCACACCTGGCAGTTAAATGTGAACCCTGAACCAGATGTGTGATTGGATGTCAGTTACCTGCTCCACATGCAGACCTGTTAGATCCTGTTAGATGTTTCATTGTTTTTGTTTTGCCAGTAGCAAAAACAGACTTTTTTTTTTGGACCCTGAAACTTTCAGGTCACATCTTTGATGCTTGCATTGTGGTCATGTCAGCTCAGCAGAAAGAACTACAGCGTGGCTCAGGATAGACCGTATTCAGACAACCACCTCTGAAAATGGTCTGAATGAAAATGTTTTCAGTGTGTACAGATACCGTTCATGCCTATATTTGTTGGAATCCAAATGCAATCCAATAGCTAAGGCCAAATTTCTGCCGCTTCTGATAGTGATGGACAGTAATTCAATAATGATGTATTGCAATAGTAAATGTTTCAATGACGATAAGGTTTATGGTGAGAGGGGATGGATAAAGAATCTATATGAGTCGGGGCCTTGTGAGTGGGCCTGTTGCTCTCCCCAAACAGACACGGGTCTTTATTCAAACCTTCGCGTCCCCTTGGATGAAGAACACGAGGTCAGAAAAACAAAAAAAAAAAAAATAACTGTAAAAAGTGTTCTGAGCTTCTCAGGATTTATAAAAGGGTCCCCAAGTATAATTTTCCTTTGACTACTCAAAGCCAGGCAGTGCTCTAAGTAATGCAAAGGCCACTGCGATAAGACGATAAGATGTTTAAAGAAATTCGATCGATAATTACAGAAGTGCATGATGACGTACACCACAGGCTCAAAGGCAGTGCTCAGCACTACCACTCTGTTATTAAACTAACAATGCTATAACCCAGTGGATATCTGCCCCAAAATGAGCTCATGCCCATTATAATAGTTGGTAGTTCTGCTGCTGATAAGTGATATTTTTAGACCCCAAGGGCAGCAGGTCACACACGGAGACTGTGTTGGTGATACTTGCTGAACAAAAGTATTTACATTGTTAAGGTAACCACCCTAAAAACACTTCAATTGATGGAGAATTAGGAGGAGAACAAAATCCCATTTCTGGATATTGGCCATTGTCCCACCATTCGTTGAACACATAGGCGTAATTTGCAGGGGGGGGGGGGGAGTTATAACGGTATGACCCCCACAATATTTTAATCCAGTCAATATAACCCCAACCCCTCAATAAAATTACATTATTTGCTCAAACACAATATAAATGAYCTGGTTAAGTACACAGATTCAACTCTCTTGTCTTTAGTTAACTTTGACCTGATTTAAAAATTTACATTGCCATATAAGCATGATTTCTGAAAATGATATGCAGTGTTTTAGAGCATAACCCCCCACCCGAAAGGCATACCTAAAGTTACGCCCTTGGTTGAGCAGCACACCTGCCTCTGCACAGGAGAGATTAGTGGTGACACTGCGATACTGAGTCCCAATAGCCACTGTCAGCTTGTAGGAGCTAATACTTCTAGCTGAATTGCAGCCACACTGGTTCCTGAGCAGCTCGTGGAACAGCATGACCACATAAACCCACCCTTACTTCACATTTATGGCCAATTACAAAACTGTTGATGCAAACTCCTAGGAGAAAAAAAAGTTATGCATAGCCTTTGTGTCATGAACGGGCTCTCGGAGCTCCTTTGAGAACACAATTACATTAATTTTTGTTTTGCAACTACGTCAGCAAAACTTTTCTTCACTTCTTGCCGAGTTTAACTCCAGCTTCAGTCTAGGAGCAACTAACAGAATGCACTAGGATTTATGAACAGTTAAAAAAAAAAAAGATAATCGTTAATAAAAAATGTCTACCTAGAGTTCTGTAACTGCACTCAGGTAATATGATGTAAAAAAAGCAAATAACTTCAACAATGAAACTGCTCTACAGTTGAGCCTAATAAACTTACAGCAGTCTGACTCGTCCGACCAGTCTCCACAATCATCATCTCCGTCACAATGGTAGATGTCCAGGATACAGCGGCCATATGCACACTGGAACTCCTCCACACTGCAGGTAGCTGTCATCACATCTGAGGCTGCAGACACACAAACACGTTAAACAGATGTTAGCAAAGGTGCTGCAGCTGTTTACGGCTCTTTGAAGCTTTGCCTTCGCTTTGTTCACGCTGTCAAACTGCACATGAATGGAAGATCACAGTTTTAATAAAGACACTTGACGTGTTTTTATGCTACACATCAGAAGTTAGAATTGTGTGATCACATTGTCTTGCACTGAAGGTCAGTAATTTGTTTGCAGACATTCTCTGAGGCATATTTTATTTCAGTCTAACTCTAATTCGAAGAACCGACACACTCAGAAAAAAATATCTATAATTCTATTACTGTTATTACATAATTAGAAGAAATATCCAAAGCGGAACAGTTCACACTTCCTTTTTTTTGGACCATTTTCAATGGCTAGTCTGCTTCATTTGCTTGAGTTTCTAAATGCATTTAACTACTTTGTTCAAACTTTTGATTTCAATACGTTTTTCCCATTTAGCACAAAACTGCAGAACTACTTATGTGGCAAAAATACACAGAAAAAAAMMAAACAAAACAAAACAAGAAAACCAGTAGTGTGAATGCTGACTCAGCGTTCACAGAATTAAAGTTAGGGGTTGTCACAGGAGAYGTGGAACCATTTCTTAGTCATGTTGCTATAGGTTCACACTGCTAGTAAATCAACCAACAAATGAGATGATTGTTCACTTTTACATTGTTCTACTGAATGTTTTTTGCAGTTAAACTTTTCCTTGCTTGCTGTCATCATTTGCCTCCTCAAAGGAAATGGACTGCCTTGTCTTGATGGACCTTTAGCTTGAATTTAGGCAATAAAAAGAATGATCTGAGGGGAAGTTTCACCCAATCGGCCTATTGATCACCACATTTTGTTCAAAGTATAAATACTTCAAGTCTGTGGTGTTTTTATAGCCCTGCTGACCTCAAACATGAAGTCTCAGTTTTGTGAAGCTGAGAAATCAAGCCTGAATGAAACACTACATCTCAGAAAGGCCACCTACGCTCAGAAGCACTTACGGCAATTTTCCTCGTCGGATTCATCCTTGCAGTCTTTGTCTCCGTCACAATACCAGTGTTCAGCAATGCAGCTTCCATCTGTGCAACGGAACTCTTTATCTGAACATTTACGCATATCTGATTTAAAACAAAAATAAATTTCAGTTAGACAGTGTAAAAAGTGCTGGAAAACACRATCTCCGGTAAGTACTCACCACATTGTTCATCACTGTTGTCTCCACAATCGTTGTCGCCATCGCAGTGCCAGAGGCTGCGAATGCAGTAGCCGTTTAGGCATTGGAACTCGTCCTCTTCACACTCCCTGGGAGCTGCTTCGACAAAAATGAACAGAGACTTTTCAGAGCAAACCAGGATAAAAAGGGGAAAAAAAACATATACACTTCTCTGCTGACATCATATCTCAAACTACTGTCTGTTTTTTTATGACTCACAGCAAAAAGTTGAAAGAAGAAAATACTTTTTCTTCCCCCGGAAACAGATGCCAGTCAAACAGAGTAAGGTTTGAGCTTAACACAGAAGACTTCATTGGGAAGCAAAAGTATAATACCAAGCAGGAAGGAACTAACCTCAGAGTGACAGTGACTATAATTCAAGGTTTTCAAATAATGGGAAGACATTTTCCACCTGACAAAGTCTAAAATCAGCTACTATGACACAACAGGAAAGTACTTTGGTCACTCTGTATAATAAAGCCCCTGTACCAGTTTCACATTACATTTTTAACCAAAACTACAAACGTGCTGCAACCACAATCCAGTAATCCTAGATTTAGGCACTAGGGCTAATGTTCCAGGTTTGTTAGACAAAAACAAAGATGGATGGCCCCAGGCAGGAGGTAATCTATTATTTATCACTGCTGTGTGTGAGTAAGAGTCAGCTGAGACAAAGAGAGAGAAATGAGGAGACAGAAATAGTTGGCTGCCTACAAAGTGCAGGTGCAAATACAAAAACAAAGTTTTTCTTTATTACAGTAACATGATTTTTCCCCCCATTCTGGTGTACTCTAACCACCCCCCCCCCACCATCAGCACACCTGGGAAACATACACACTTCACTTCATTGATCAAAAGACACGAGGGCTTACAGACCTTGTACAAGTTAATATTTTATGTCTAATCGACCCTAACAGATGGTGTTTGTGCCTGCATGAAAAAGTTACACTTTATACATGTTTCATACAGAGCATACAAAGTACATATAAGCCAGATACCCCAAATATGATGGGGAAAAAATTATAAAAAAGAAATGAGAAATAAGAAATATATATATATATCTTTTTTTGTGTGTGATTTTTGCATTTCAGATAACATCATTGGGGATACTATTGATTATCTCAACTGCCATGTTTTCAAACAGTGTTATTAAACTTAACAGTAACGCTGCCTCCACAGTTAGACACCACTAACAGCTACATAGTAAATACAAATTTTTCCTTTTTATATTATATGGTTTAATAGCATTACAGGTATATTTTGGTTGCAATTTGCCCAAGGCATGTTAGACTTACACAATAATATTAGCATAGCAAGGTAATGTCAATTATGTACATTTTTTATTTTTTTACTCTTTAAGTAGGTATAAACTTCACAACCATGAACAAAAATAAGCCTGCATAAAAAACAGAATAAATAAACAAGTGCATGGATGGAACTAACTGGTTTTATTTGGACTGTGTGTAAATGAWTTTAAATCTGAATCTAGTTGTAATAAATCGGATTATAATTKAACTGAATTGGACTGTATGTAAAGAAATTGAACTGGAATTGCTAAACATAACAATGAACTTAGATGTATATACTGAAAACATTATAGAGTGGACACTGATATACTGACTACAGAATAATAAGGATCMCTAAAATTGGGTTAATAAAATTATAACCATGTACGGCACATTACGGCAAAGGCTGGTTCACCCCAAAGATCCGGTGCCCCGGAACAAACAGAGCAATGTTGTATATTCTGTTAAGTGCCTGGAGGACTGTGACCAGTTATACATCGGGGAAACAAAGCAGCCACTGTTCAAAAGAATGTCCCAACACAGACGAGCTACATCTAATGGCCAGAACTCTGCAGTTTTCACTCATTTACAGGCCAGCGGTCACTCTTTCAGAGATGAGGATGTTCTCATTCTTGATAGAGAGGAACGTTGGTTTGAGAGAGGAGTRAAAGAAGYCATTTTTGTGAAGAAAGACCGTCCATCATTAAACAGAGGTGGAGGCCTCCGTTTTCAGTTGTCCCCCTCCTACAAGCACGGCTATTGCCAGTATCACTCCACCCCCTGTTAACAATAAGTGTTAATTAGGTGTCAACRATAGCCATGTGATGTGAGTATCAGTCACATGGAGGCAGKGCTTAAAAGCCTGAAWTTTGCCTGAAACTCTCAGACTGAAGAAGTCTCTTGGAGGAGAGACGAAACGTTTCATTAGAGAAGAACCCGTCCAGAAGACCTACACATTTTTTTTTCTTTTTAACCATGTATCACTTCTTTTTGCTAAAGAGACTTAATTACAGTTTATGTTTAACCTGAAACATTTTTTACATTTTGGCAAAACAGTTTCTATTTTTATAATCTTAGAATATTAAATAGCCTGTATTACCATATATCAGCCCAACTAATTTATCTATTGGGCAGCAAACCAACCAATACCAACCCCCATTACCCCCTTCAAAYGTAAAGTCATTGAGCTAATCCRAATTAAAATTTAATTTTCCATGCACAATTGACAAATACACTCATTTAATCTATTCTTCAGGTTGAAAGATAATGACTGATTTTATACATTTTACTGTCTTTACCATCCCTTCTCTTCCCCTCCATACATGAGGTAAACAGAAGAAGGTCATAGGTCAACAAGCCCTCGAGACGCTCATCACTCACACAGCAGCCAAACCTCAAAGGGCAAAGGCCACGTGGAGTCATTACCRGGCTACCTACTTGTGTGTGCATGTCGTTTATCAATGTTTATTTTCCACTCTCTCTGTGAAATATCTTWAAAAACATCAAGAAATCAGAGTTTTCTTGTTAGAACATGCACACTGTGGCACCGAAGCACACCTCGGTTTCTTTGTTCGTCTGAAACCTTGAAAACTGCTTCATCTCCAACTGAGCGTGGAGGATCTTCTCCCCATCTCTAAATAATGAAATAAAGCTACTAGGTTGTGGGGAGGAAAAAAAAAAACAAGAGATGGGAAAATTAACTGGGCATGAGGATGAAAAATTCATGGACAGCTTTGCCAGCAGCAGACAGGCCCCCCCATCAGGAAGTGATTCCGTGTCTGGCTGTTGATATCGAATGTGGGTCAGAGGATCAGGAGATACTGGTGCATGATGGAAACAGCACTTAGAAGACAAAGAGCTAGCCTGTACCTGCTCTACACATGAAACACCCAGGGTATTCTGGAAAAACATCCCACTTCCTGGTGTGTACAGTGTTTTTAAAGTCAAGTTTTACTTTTATTTTGCTGCTTTTTCTCAAGGCAACTTATTCATGTCAGTTGCCCCATTGACTTTAACTTAATCCGCATAGCTTATTGCAACAAGAATATATATATATACTTAAATAAACAATTCATGGGCTTTAAATGTTTTGAGCAACTAATGACTGATGATCTTTGAGTTAAGTTGTTCCTTATCAGATCAAATTGTCATTCTGCCACTAATAAGCAAATCAAGCACAAAACCCTTTGTTATTTTGCCTACCAGCCCTTTTCCACTGCACCGGCCAACACAGTCACAGCAGACACCACACTGCAGCCACTTCCACATTAAAGATTTTGTGATCTTCCACGTCGCCTAACGCTAAGCGAGACAAATTGWTCTGACGTCACAGGCTAAGGCCTCAGGCCAGCAGTGCCAGAACACTCTCACTATTTATTTTAGTCAAGTGGTTACCTCACAGACAAATGTTTCTTTTTTTGCAATGAGGCGGAAAGCTCCTATGGCTCAATGTATGTGAAGATGTACCAAGAAAAGGTAATTAAAATGAATAATAAAAGGTTTCTGAGTCCTTGGCAGTGAACCTTCCTAAAGATGAAAAAGAAAGGATTTGAGAACATTTCATTTTCCCATTAAGCTTCTTCAGCATMGATGTTCAAGTACTTATAAAACTTGAGTTAAATCCAATTAATAATACTTTAATTTCCTGGCCCGAGCACTTAAGACCCTATTGATGGGCATGCAGGTTTTCATTTATGTACAAGTCCAACAGGCTTAACTCCTGAAGGACTTAAAGAACTCACAAAGTATGCAAAAGTGAGCATTTGTGGAAGGGCCTCAATAAATGGACTTTTTAATCTTGTGAACATCTTTGAAAGAACATAAAATTGTTTATTATCTTTTAGATAAACCTAATCTGACACAGACCCTTTCTCTCAAATCATCCCAGTGTGGGTGTGTTTCGTTTCGCACAGTGCCAATACGTCTTCATTTTTCTATATGTGAATACAAGGAAAAGAAATCACAAATACTGTCTATAGCTAATTTGATCAGATGTMACATTTGTAAAACYTGTAACAACTAGGCAACATTGGGTMYTGAACTATATTATTTCAGCTATTTGATTTATTTTGATAAAAAAATGAGTTGGCAGAAGAGAAGCTAGCAGACATGTCATAAGCTACATTCACATTGCAGGTCTTAATGCTCAATTCAGATTTTATTTTATTTATTTATTTGGCATGAATGTTCGCAATTATATTTTAAATGTGACCTCCATTAGACTCCAGTGTGAACTCTCCACCGCACTAAAGTGACCTGCATGTGCAGAAAAAGATGTGACATCACATGCAGCTGGTTGTTTGTTTACAGAATTAGGTAAACATGGATGCTATTTGTTCAGATTAAAAAAAAAATTCTGAATTGCATTACGCCCTGCAGCGTGAACGTAGCCTATGATATCAGTCTGTCTACACAATACAGCTCAASCAACAGATAGACTGAGAGATAGACGGGATGATTTGCAAGCAGTTGGTTAAAAAAAAGTATTTTTGGGGGAGGCGAAAGGTCTTCCTTTTCATAAACATCATTTTASCAAAATTGCAAAGTATTCTCTTACAAAGATGGAATCACAGCAGAACACATATTCACCGGGCAGCTACTGTATGTACTGCCGACTTCACCTGCTGCCAGCCACATTTTGTCTGACTGGCAACTGCAAAGCATTTTGGGGTGAACTGACACACACTGAGTCAAAAGGGGAACAGAGTGGAGAGAATTTAAAGGTCTTGTGTGTTGACAGTGGGAGTGCTGAACTCTTGCCACAGTGTGTGTGTGTGTGTGTGTGTGTGTGTGTGTGTGTGTGTGTGTGTGTGTGTGTGTGTGTGTGTGTGTGT